TGTGCTCTGATCAGACATGTCCCTCTCCCTGAGCTGCAGTTTCAGTGCTGTCCTCTGAAATAAATTCTTCTCAGGGGAGAGGCAGGTGTCCATATAGTTGGGATTGGGGCCAGCCCTTCAGATCTCTCCACTGGTTTCCTACTCCATGACGGTATGTTGCATGCACATCGTGGAATGTGTGATATTCTTGATGTCATACCATAGCATATCAGATCTGTCATTAGTGTTCAATGCGTCCAATCTATTCTGAGATGTTTTCAAAGTTCAGGTGGAATATCTTCAAAGTCATCTTTCACTCTAGTGGATTTAATTTTCTTAAGCTTCAGCATGAACTTACTTATGAGCCGTTGATGGTCTGTTCCATAGTCAGCCCGTCGCCTGAGTTTAGCCGCGGGTACTGAGCTTCTCACATCATCTCTTCCCATAGAAGTAGTCAATTTGATTTTTTGTCTATTTTATCTAGAGAATCCCACGGGTATTCTCCCTGCTTGTGTTGTTAAATAAAAGTATTTGCTATGAACAAGTTGTTGGTCTTGCAAAATTCTATCATGTGATCTCCAGCTCATTTCTGTCACCAAGACCATATTTTCCAGCCACTCTTCCTTCCTCTTAGTTTCCAGCTTTGCGCTAATCAAATCAGAATGTCAATTCTTCTTCAGGCCTCTTCAGGCCTTATTCATTATCCGTCTTGGTGTGTGTGTGTGTGTGTGTGTGTGTGTGTGTCTTTTACATACTTAAGAAGCGATTGAAAAACACCATAGCTGGAATCAGGTAAGCGCCATGTTTGCTTTTTAACACTTTTATTTATTTTTTAACTTTTTATTGCAAACGAAATGAAGCTTGGGAAGCTAGCATCAGTTTCATGTTCAACAACTGACAGCCCTTTTGTTTCGTCCCATGTGTTGCAATCAGGTCCCTAGAGGGACCATCCCTTGTCCTGTGTCCTTCTTGTTTTCTGCTTCCGTACTTCATTCTTTTCCTGGCCCTCTGAATTTTGTCCTTGTGTCAAAGTCATCTCAAATGGTTGATTGGTGCTTTAACAGGATCTTCGGTGGTGGATTTGCCCACTGCAACAAGTGGTTTGCCTTCTTGATTGTTGCTTTCCATGCACGTTAATTGTGGCTCGAAGTAAAATGAAATACTTTTGACAACTTCGGCCTTTCTCCATGTGTCATATTGTGTACTGAGCACTTGTGAGGATTTTTGTTTTCCTTATGTTGAAGTGTAACCCCTATTGAAGGCTGTATAGTCTCTGATCTTCATCAGTAAGTACTTTAAGTTCATTTTCCTTAGCAAGCAAGATTGTGAGCTCTGCATATTGCAGGTTGTGAATGAGTCTTTCTCAGTCCTGATTCTGTATTCTTCTGCACATAGTCCAATGTATCACCTCATATGCCACGCGCAGTGTTTGGATAAATATTACAAAAGGCTACAACCCCGACAAACATCTGTCCTGATTGTAGACTATGCAGTGTTCCCTTGGTCATTTGAATATTTGACGCTTGGTTTAGGTATAGCCTCCAAATTAGCATACTGTATCATCCTGGAAGTCTCACTTTTTGTGATGTTGATCATAATTTGTTCTGATCCACACAGTCAAATGCCTGTACATAGTCTATAAACCTGAACATCTTCCCGGTGCTCTGTTTTCGGCCCAAAGCCACCGAACATCAACAGTAATATCCTTCCTTCATTACACTTCCTCTTCTGAATCCAGCTTGCTTTCTGACAGTTCCCTGTCAATATTTTGCCCCATCATTTTTAATTATCTTCAGCCAAAGTTTACTTGCATGTGATATTGATGATTTTGTTGGATCATTTCTGCGCTGTTAACGATACCTTGCTTTGGAATGTGCACAAATCTGGATCTGCTCCAGTGGAGTTGTCGTCGATCGCGTGTGAGCGCTCTCTCCCAGCATTGCATCTGTTATTTGCAGCATCTCAATTCATATGCCATCTGCTCCTGGAGACATTTCACCATCGCCTTCGGTGGAGCTGGACTTCTTTCTTCAGTGCCATCAGTTCTTGGTTATGAAATGGTTCCTGAAAGAGTTATTATATATCAAGCAATTGCTTTTGTTAGTTATTCTGTGTATTCCTTCCATCTTCTTTTAATACTGTCTGCATTGTTCAGTATTCTGCTCACGGAATCATTCACTGTTGCAGCTCACGGCTTGGGTACCCCTCCCCCTCCCCCCCCTTTTTTGGCACTCTTTTAGTTGAGACTTGCCAAGCATATTCTTTTTGTTTTTCTAACTAGGTCTTTGAACAGTTCCTTATAATACTTTATATTTTCTTCTTGAGCCCCAAGGCTCAGCAAACCTTCTGTACAGCACGTTTGCTTCATCTCTGCTTCCATCACCGTCCATTCAAAAGCAAGTTTCAGGCTCTCGTCTGACATCCACTTTGGTCATTTTTCTTTCCAGTCTTTTTAAGGGCCTTTACCTTTCCTCCTATAGGAGGTCCCTGATGTCCTTCCATAACTCCTCAGGTATTTGATCATTAGTGTTCACTGCACCAAATATGGAGAGATCGTCTCTTATATTTTGACTCTCATGGACCATATTAATATTATTCAGCTTCATTTTGAACTTGTGTATAAGCAATTGATTATCTTGTTCTGACCGATGATTTTGAGCTCCTCCATCATCTCTTTTCAGAAATACAGTGCATTTGTTTCTTGTATGTTTTATGGGGAAGAATCTATAATGGCTATTTATGTTGCTGATAAGGTACTTGTAATAATAGATCACTGGTCTTACACAATTCTATCATCACTCTCCAGCATTTCTACCACAGAGGCCACAGTTTTCAACTACTTAGCCCTCTTTGTTTCCAAATTTCTTAATCCAGTCACCAGTAGCTGCCAATGCATTTTGACTCTATATTAGATCAATGACAGACCACAGAAGTTAGTAAAAATCTTCAATATCTTTGTTTGCCTTTGGTGATCGATCCATAAATTTGAATCATGATCAGATTAATTGGACCTCTTATTAAGGCTGTTATTTCTATTACTAGTAGCGTTGTTCTTCAGCACAGGTCTTGGAATTTTCTTTTCCATGATGAATGGGATGCCATTCTTCTTGAATTTGACATTTATGGCATAATAATCACAATAGCCCCATTCAAAATGGCCAATAGCAGCCCTTCTCAACTGATGGATGCCAAGGATACTGATGTTTAAGTGTTCCATCTCACTTTTATGGCTCCCAATTTTATGACTTCCAATTTTCCCAGGGTCATAGATTCTACATTCTAATTATATTTTTTTCATATTCTGATCATGCATGAATGCTTGTAGCTTTCTTTTCGCATTTTGATTCGTTCCCATCATCCAGTGAAGGTCCTGATAGCTTTAGCCCACCAGGGATTAAAGTAGACTCAACTTGAAGAGGCAGCTATTCCTCAGTCGTATACAGGGATCCTCCCCCCATCTAAGGGATGGACCTTCTGTCAGTGTGTAAGAAAGTATTTCACTGTTAATGATTAAGTTTTTACTGGCTAGTTTTTTCTGAAGCATATTGAGAGGTTCTCCTTCCTAATCTGTCTTAGTCTGGAAACTTCACTGACACCTACCCACCTTGGGTGACCTTGCTGTGTTCGATACACTGGTGGCGTAGCATCCAGCGACACACAAGCCACAAAAGCATGACAGACTGATCGGCAAGATGCTTAGTCTAGGGAAAACTATTTATTATTTCTCATTATTGACACACAACCCTTCTGGGTCTATTAGTTGTGAGGTATTCCAGCCTGGCTTGTGGGAATGGGCTCTGTCCTTGGCCTTGGATAGTTTTCTTGAATGCATGTGTTTATCAGTACTCTACTGAAGACTCCAGTGTGTGTTGGGGGGATGGGGGGGGCGTTTGCAGTTCTGTATAGTTTCTCTCTTCATAGAGTTCTCCCCTTTCTTGTACTTTATTTTGTAGACTGTAGGATGGTCTCTTCAGAATAAACTCCCATCGCCTCACTCAAGGAGCCTCACCCGGCTCCTCACTTGAATTTCACCTCCCGGTGTCTTCGCCTGGAAACCCTCAGGCTGTCAGTTGGATCACACAAGACTTAGATCGTTGGTTTTCCCTCTTTCGGAGCTGACCGTCTGATTTTTCACTCCTTGCATCTTCTCCAAGCCCTATTTTGTCTCTCATCCTTGATGACCATCCTAGAAAGGAGACACTGTCTTCATTGTTGCTTGAAATATGGGAAAAGATAAAGTTTTCTGATCCTGTAAAGATTTACAGGCTCAGAATCTCATGGGTTGATTGTCATTTGTCCTACAGGGTCTACTGGATGGCAGTGGACTAGTGTTTTGTTGAGTTATACATATATGTGCTCCATATATGTATAACTGACACATATTTGTTTTTGTTTTTTCATCTAACTTTGTATGGTAAACACTTCATGAGTTTTCCCGGGCAGCTAATATCTGTCCGAGGCAGATGAATTTGTTTTTGTTCTGGCTTCTTGGTTGTCAAGAAAGAGCCGGCCAACAAAAGGTTTATCTCTCTACAGCATTAAGCACTTCTCTCTCTTACTCCAAGTATGTTCTTTCACCGAATTCTGTCAGATTCCCGTTGCTCAGACTTCCCCATTTAGACCCCCTTTGTCTTCCCACGCAGGAGCCCTGGTGGCACAGTAGCTAGCACTCGACTGCAAGTCAAAAGGTCTGTGGTTTGAACCCCCGCTGATTCTTGGGAGAAAGATGTGGCAGGCTGCTTCCCGAAAGATGGCAGCCAGGAAGCCCCACGGGGCAGCTCTACTCTGTCCCGCGAGATTAACGCAAGTTGGATTCAGCTCCTTGGCAGCATGTTCTGTTCTCACTGCAGCTTCCCTATATCGAATCCTCATAGAAACTATTACACTGGCTTTCTGACCAGCTCCTGGCTTCTGCTTTCTGCTCTCTCCCTCCTGTAGTTCTGCCGTGAGCAAAAAGCAGAGCCGGGAGACCCGGGCACACACACTGGACATGCAGGTGAAGAAGACTGAGCAGATGGGCCGGAAAGTCACCTTAATAGAGGTAAGAGTCACAGTTGCATCATCAAGTCAATAGGAGGAAATGGAGGGACGGCCAGGTCAGCAGTGACAGAGGCCAGCACAAGGACTAGTAAAAGGGGGGCAGATATCCCTTGGGATTTACCTTCAAGAGGCCTTGGGAAAGATCGGTTTTGAGAAGAGGCTTGCCGTCATAGCTCAGGATATACCCAGCCTGAAGAGTGGAAATGGGAGCCATCAGAGCCAGACTTTCAAGGAACTAAAAGGCAAGACAGGATCTTCAAGTTGGCATGCTCGGTCTATAGGAATGCAGACGTTTTTAAAAGAGAATTACAAGAATGTGTACAAACAGAGGAAGGAGGCACTACTGAGAAGTGGCCATGCAAAGAGGGAGGAGGAGGAGGAAGAAGAAGATAACAGGATCCTGGGGACTCAAGGAAATAGGGTTAGAATTGAAAGCAGAGAGAGGTGAGCTAGTGTTTCCAATCAGGCTAGAAGCTATGTTTGAACGACATTGTTTCCGGGGGGCTGGGGTCTAAGAAGGGCAGGAGGGGCCTTTTGAAGAAAAACCTGTCTCAGAGACTCTGGCTTCTCTGTTAGATAGAAAGAAAGCTTGAAATGTCGCAACCCTGGCCACATCTGCATTGTTTTCCACTTTACGAAGGCAGACTATTAACCAAACTACTGCATCCGTTCTCCATTTTTCTGTACCAGTACAATCAGGTGAATTACATGTTTGGTGACAATACTGCTTCATAAGTTATCTCAAGTAAGCCTGAGTTGTACAAGCATATGTGGTTTTGTTAGCAATTCTTAAATACACAGTAAACACAACTTAATATATATTCCGGATCTTGCCCCTCTCTCCCTTCTCCTCCCATCAACTCACCGCCTGTCTCAATGTACCACTTTCTAGAAACTAGATTCAAAATTTGAGTTATGAAAAAGCATCTTGACATTTTAATTATTTTAACATTTTAATTGCATAAAACAAGCCTGTAATTGGGTAGTTAGTGTGATCGTGGTTTTGGAAGTGTTTTCTTTTTAACATTTTGAAGCAATTTCTACATTTAGTCATTAAAAAGGTTTTAAAATGTGTGATTATTTAAAAGGTACCATAAACAGATATTTTTAAAATGAGCAATACCTTAAGATGAAAGACTTTTGTAGAAGTCTATGCAGGCAAAGGATTAATACCCTTCATAAAACTTATCCAGAAGTCATCAAGCAAAAGAATATGTGAATAGACCATCAATAAAACATTATGCACAGGAAATTCTCAAAGCAATGAACATATAAAATACTCATTTTAAGTTAACAACAGTTTTAAATACTTAATATTTGTGTTGAGAGTTGTGGGGAAATGGGTTCCCTCCGACGCTGCTAGCAATTGTATAAAATTGACCCATCCATGGTGAGGGATGAGGAACCCTGGTGGCATAGTGGTTACCCTTTGGGCTGCTAACTACAAGGTCAGCAGTTTGAAACCACCAGCTGCTCCAAGGGAGAGAAAAAAAATTAGTTTTCTATTCCTTTAAAGAATTAAAGTCGGGGGAAAAAATCACAGGGAAAAAAAAAAAAAGAGTTAAAGTCTTGGGAGCCCACAGGAGCAGTTCTATCCTGTCCTGTAGGGTCACTATGAGTCAGAATCGGCTTGATGGCAGGGAGGTTTGTGTTTGTGGAGCATAATTTGGTAATACTTATTTTTGGAAGTTTTCAGCTATTCATCTTCCAACCTGACAATTCTCATTCCAGAAATCTAGAGGAAAATATTTAAGAATGCATGCAGGGTCTTAAGGGCTATTCCTTCAAGTAGTGCTGCATAAATTGAAGGGAAAAAACTGTCACAGTATTGATTATATTGATATAGTACTATAACTTAGGACTTTTTATGGAGAGGGGTAATTTTGTAGATAAGGGAAGATGTTTATCATAGTGTTTAAATAAAAATCGATTATAAATTAGTTTGCATATATAGCATAAAAGTAAAATGTCCAACAATCTATAATAAAGGAACTCCGTAGTTATCTCCGTGTGCTGTGACCATAGTGATGTGTTTTATTCCTTTTTACCTTGTGCATTTTCCAATATTGGTATGTATTACTTATTCATCACTTTTTAAATGTTCAGCACTCTTTTTAACGTAGCCCTTTCTTTCTACACTGAAAGACTGCAGGGCCTCGGTGCCGTCGTCACGAAGCCCTAGCACTAGGACTTGATTGTCTGACTCAAGGCCTGGTTGTTCCGTCTTTGCTTTGCCGCTGAGCTCTGATGGGATGATCGCACCTTGGGCAGGGATAACGATACTCACAAGTTTCTCTCCCATCACTGAGCCCAGTACGTGGCTACAGAGGAACCTCCAGATAATCTTTGTTCGATTGGATTTCCTGTGAGAAGGGCCAGGTGTGTTTTAGGAATCTCATTCCCCACGTACAATATACACACAAACAGTGACCTAATTTCATACTCGTCTTCATAATCCTGCTGCGAAGATTTTCCTTTCTCTTTGCACATCGTGTTCCTCTGGTCAAAGGCCCCTGTTTCCGTTACTGTCTTCCTCTGCTCACGTTGGGACACTGAAGTGCTAACCTTCAGAAGTGAGCCTGGGTTTGGATTTATTCTTGACTTTGCTAAGATGACATCCCTTCCCTCTTCCAGCAGTCCTCTCCTGTCTCGAAGCCTTCCAGCCCCTGAGCTGCCAACCGCCATGGGGCTCTTAGGCCACCCCTGTGTCACGAGGAGCCCTCCGCTGTCAGAGGCTGACGTTTATTTGTCTCCTCTGTTTTTCCTGTCACTGGGCCCTCTCTCCCTTTCAGAGGTAGGCTTTGTCATTGACCCCCAACCCCCAACCCCCACCCCCGTGGTGTCTTTCTCTTCATAGTATGCACCACTTCCCTGAAAGGTGCTGCCTTCACTGCCCACTTCAGCTTTCTCTACAGAAATTTCCCTCTCCCGAGGGCCCTCTTGCCCTCTGCACCGTGCTCCTCCCCGGGCAGCGCCCACCTGGTCGGCTGGACTTGTACTCCGTCTTCTGGTCTTCTGCCGTGCAGGATCTGTCTCAGTGATCCCCGGCTGCTTGGGCTCCCCTTCCAGCCCCTGCCCTTTCTGCTCTTCTCCTTTCCTGTCCTCTGGCTGCATGCCCTCCTCCTCTCACTCCTGCATGCCCTCCTCCTCTCACTCCTGCATGCCCTCCTCCTCTCACTCCTGCATGCCCTCCTCCTCTCACTCTGCCTGCCTTGTGTCCCCTTGCGGGGGTCCTCCTTCCATTCTCACCACTCTTGACAGAGATCTGCAGGGTCTCCGAGTGACTTGTCCTTGGGACCCATTTGATCCTTGGCGACTCTCCCCCTCACCTCACCCCAGTTAGGAGATTAATTTGGGGCCAGCCTTCCAGGGTTTCCCTGTAAACACACAGGGACACCAACGATACACTTATTAGACTTCTAGTGCCCTTGTGCTGTGACAAACCTAGCATTTCTATTTTGTATGCACTTTCATATGCTTGACAGCAAGCATATCTATGTAAGCGTATTGCAATAGCTCTATTTAACAAATTTTAAATCAAGAAGCATGGGTTGACAAAGGACACCCCCCCCCCAGGTGTAAACATTTTTATAGAAAAATGCTAGTGCATCCCCTTAATTAAGATTGATCCTGGCTCTGGGGTTTCTGACCCTCCTGTGCCAACAGGGGAGCCTCTCTGGTAATGCCGGTAGGTAGGCAGGCCATGGCCTGGTGAGAGCCTTTCTGTGTAGAGCAAAGGCAATAACAGCACTGGGGAGACCGGCAGAGGGATCTCTACTCTGGCCTATAGGGTCACTGCGGGTCAGGCTCAACTTGAGAGCAGTGAGTTTGGTTTGGGTTTTAGATCCTTGACACTTGTTCATGAATAACTGCACCGGAATGTTTGGGTTCGCTCTCCCAGTTTCTCACCAGTGCACCTAGTGCGTGGTTTTGAGGAAGCAACTCCTTGTGTCATTTCTGGATTGGCTCTAAATTGTATTCAGGATGCAATTTCACCTATTTTAGAACTGTACTGAACTGCTTAGTCAGTTCACCATCAGTAGCTTGTCATTCAAAAAGACCGTTTTAACTGACTTGAAAAATGTAATGGTCAACTGAATTACAAAGGTAGGAATAGCCATGGACTAGGAAAATGAGTGCTTTTTAATGAAGTGGTCCACGTGTTTTCAAAGCACTAACCTTGAAGCATTATTCATGATTGTTTTCCCACTGAACCTATATTTTTGGAGAAGACTATTACTGTTACTGTTTCTATTAACTTGTGAGAGATGGAGGCAGCCATGAACACTCGCCTGTTGATGCTAAGAGACATTAACAGTATGTTCAAAAGGCAAACTAGAAAACAAGTCTTAACATTATGATCTGACTTGCTATTTTGTGTGTGCAGTGTATGGTGTGTGTGTGCAGTGTATGGTGTGTATGTGCAGTGTATGGTGTGTGTGTGCAGTGTATGGTGTGTATGTGCAGTGTATGGTTTGTGTGTGCAGTGTATGGTGTGTGTGGGCAGTGTATGGT